CGGCTCCCCGCTTATGCAAATGAAGCCCGGGAAATTCAAATCCCAGGCTTCATTTGCAAGTGCGGTATGCCTACATTACCCCGCTAGTTCAAACTAGCGGGGTAGTGTAGACATACCCTTAGATATTAGGTATCATTTACTCACACGGATGGAAACAGCCCGTGACACTAGCCAGGGGATTTTAAATTATAGTTTATTCCCAAGTATATTATACACACCCCAGAAAAATGGTCAAATTTGGGGATGCAAATATTTGGAAATTTAGGGTTATATTTTAATATTGGGGATGAATTAAGACACTGTGGCATGACTTGGGACAGAATACCAGCCTCAGTTTGTGGATTTGTCACTGAATTTCCTTGCATATGTGGGACTAGATCAGGGTGGAAACCTTTCGCCCACGGGCTGCATGCGCTTCATGCTGCTGGCATGCTACAAGATGGTTTGTTTACTGAGTATATGAAGACAGAGCCCTGTAGCTCCCAGTTAGCATGGTTCAACATTCCCAGCCAAAGGGAGCTATGAGAAGCAGTAGCCTGGCTTGCAGTTTCCCCCCCCCCCCCCGGACTAGATCATATACTTGCACTTTTGTGTTACTGCTTTTAAAGGTGATTAAAAAAAACCACAAATCTATGAATACAACAACAATTCAAGACAGGGCATCAGGAATGCACACTATAAATGAGCTGTTGCTAACATTCTCACTTGTGTGTAAGAGCCAATTAGGAAAAGTGCCTTCAAAAATAAAGGAACCAGGGTTTGATGTAGAACATTTTTTTAAAGCTCAATATAGGGCAGACTTTCATTGGGAAAGTTCTCATTAACATGTGAAAGGAATTAAAACTAATTAAAAATGGTAGAGAGAGTAACTAAATAAAAGAGTCAAAAGAGATCTAAGTTAAGTGTGTAAGCCAACGGACCAGATTGTATTTTCAACGTTTGTTACATACACTTTTCATAGATCAGTGGAGGGAGAATTTGTAAATGAGCATTCGAGTTAATACAAAATAAGCTAACAGTGGAGGGGCAGAAATAAACAAAAGTTTGGGTAAGGAATTAATGTGCACAGGGAACAATCACATGTAAAGTAAGATTTGCAGCCCGGCATGGCTATAAGTAATCTTGTCGTCACTGATGTTGTTCTGTCTCAGTCCATTTAATTTTGATCCATTAGTACCTCCCCAGCTGATTCACTCAATCTCCTGGCCATCCAACCTTTTATCTTAAATTCCATTTCTCATGAATCACACTAATGGGTGTTAGCCCTGTAAAAGGTATTTTATGACTCAAGTCCCATGTGCATAACCCCCAACATGTAGTGAAAGTCCTTTAACAAATACAAATAGCTTAGCAGATGCAGTTAAAAATCACTGTAAGAATTTTCCACGCTGATCAAAAATTTCTTCAGTAGAGGTCTAATCCAATGCCACAGAAGTAAATGAAAAGTTTTCCACTGACTTCAGCTGGCATTGCATAAAGCTTTTAGACAGCAACTACTGAGTGAAGAATCTGCAGTACACCTTAATGGATGAAGTTTCCCGAGTGATGGTTAACAAGCAGCCAGGGAGCAACACGTGGAGCCAGGAGTTAGCAGTCCTGTGTGGTACTGGAAAAAGCCAGGCTAGGGCAGCCTCTGCCCGTGGCGGAGGAGTGACTCAAGCCTGCATGCCGCCATTTAATCAGTTAGCCATTAAAAGTTAACTTTTAACTGGTTAACTAATTAAACAGGATTTTACATCCTGACATCGTGGTAGCTTACTTATCTTTGTGTTAGAATTGTACGTAATCACATTGGTCAGTGATTACCTAGTACAGTGATAGGCACTATGAAAAACTCTAAGATAGGTAAAAGTGAGATAGCCTGTCTGTCAATCATTTCTGCTCACAAAAACTTCTAGTCAGTCTCATAAATTTGCTGTTATAATTTAGTTATACACTAGACTTCAATTTTGTACTTTTATGCTATTACCATTCCTTGCGAGGATTGCCACTGCTGAATTCCCAGCATACTAGATATTCTGCTGAATTCTGAGCATAGAAGACATTCTGGAATTTACAAGAATGGTATGGGACTTCTCTCACCAGTGTGACCTTGCACGCACAATGTGAGAGCGGTCACATGGCACAGAGGATGCCATTTTGAGGAATCTACTGCTCCCTCTCTCACAATGTGACTTGCATGTGGTGTGTGGAAAGTCATGCCAGCAGGATGGAGTAGCACAATCTTCAAAATGGCATCTCTCCTCCACAATACCAGACAAAACCACTTTCAGTTTTGTCTCTGTAGTGGACAGGGACAAACCGCAGATAAAGAAGACTGTTCATCTTAAAAATGGAAGAATGGTCGGCATATTCTTGGCCCTGCCATTTTCCCCCTCTTTGAACTGGACCAGAATGAAAGGTCCAGATAATCTGTGTAAAGACAGATTTTTATAAGTTCACCCCTGTCTTAGACTCACTGTGTGCAACCACACAAAGAGCCCCTTTGGAATTGGGCTACTTGCTGAATAGGGAGATGTACATTTTCTGAAACTGTCTCTTTCTGGTGCAGCAGAAATTCTCTTGCTTCCAATGGCACCAGCACCAATAGAGAAAGGTTTATTGCTTTGTGAAGGTTTTAACTTTTAGAAATAATTCCATGTACTACATTATTATTTAAGGAAAGGTCTAAGGACATGAAAAATAGAAGCCAGCTGGTTTCATTTCCAGTGTAGAATATACAAAAACATCTTTGAATTCACAGAGATAAGCTCGGCATGATTTAAAAGCTACCAAAAGAAGCCTAACTTCTTGGGATTGTTTGAGGATATTATTGCATAAGGGCATTCAGGAGGCATGATATACTCAAATTGTCAGGAGACATTTGTCTACTCTGCATTCAAGGTCAGTGTCTAAGGTGAGGTGTCATGGATTGAGAGGAAAAGTGTCTGATTAAACTGAACATCAGCTGCAAGGCAACCAAGTGGAACCATAGGAACTTATTCAGGCGGGCAATAACAGAAGTGATTCATACATACACTGAAGGAGCAAATGTTGTTTTGTTTTTACAGATTTTCAGTATTGTTTTGTAACTAAGAGTATAATTTTGAAAACTAAAATATATGAAAGAGTATAGACATCGGGGGCAGGAAAAATAATGCAAAGAATTAAAAATTAGGGTAAAATCTGTGAGGAAAAGAGTGCACAATCTCTCTGTGAAGTCAAAGGTAAAAAATAGATTTCAGAGGCAAATAGCTTATTGTTGCACCTCCCAGTAAGCAAACACAGTGGGTACCATTGCATCCCATTCACTTGCCTT